CACATCACTCCGGTTTTTGCCGGCCTGCACCCGCGCGGGCGATCTCCTTCTCCTTCTCGTGCCTCCTCCGAGCCTTCTTAGCTCACTTCTTCTTGGCGACCGCTGCTTCCTTCAGGGTAGCTTGCCGAGCCATGCCCTCTGGTCCCCTTGGAAGATGCGGCCGTAATTTGTAACCGGTGATTCCCTACGAAACGGACAACTCGAAGTCAAAACAAAGGAGAGCAAGAGAAAAAAAGGTCACAGAATAAGGAGCGGGGAGCGTACCAGAGTGGATAGCTTCACGGCGTGGAGGGGTCCGGGCTTTTCTTCGAGGGACTCCTTATCCCTCAGTTGTAGCACCTGGTCGAGTCGGCTCCAGACCTCGTCCTTTGCCAACTCCCTCGGCGACGCGCGGTCGGGATCTGTTGGGCCGGAGTAGTTCCACATCAGCCACCTCCTCTCCGCTAGCGGGGCGACTCGATGGCGGAAGAAGGTGTGGAACACCCGTAGCCCATCGAGGCCGTGCTGCACCATCTTCTGGAACTCCACCTCGATGACCTCTAGTTTGTTCTACCGACTGGAGGGCCCCCACGACCAGCTCTCTTGCCTCTCTGGCCTTCTTTCGGTGAACGGCGGGAATGGTGCCTCCACTGAGTTCCTGATGTAGAGCCACTCCCCATGCCACTCCCAATTAGAGTCGCAGGGGGAGTATGCAGGGTAGGAGCCCGACGGCCTTGGCTTCTTCTGTAAGGCGAAGCCCCCAACTGGCGTGGTCCTAGGCGGCTTGCCCTCCGATAAGGCTCGCCCGGTGAAGATCCACCGGAAGAGGTCCACGTGCGGCTCCATCCCGAGGAAGGCCTCACAGAGGATGACGAAACTAGCAACATGCAACACCCCAGCTGGATTGAGGTGCTGCAGCTCTAGGCCCCACTCGTTGAGGAGCCCGCGTAAGAACCAGTGCGTGGGATATCCTAGCCCATGCTTGTGGAAGGCGAGGAAGGAGACAACCTTGTTGGCCCGAGGTTGCGGAATGGCTTCCCCTGGTGCAGGAGCCCTCCAGTGCGCCACCTCCTTCGGTGGAAGCAGCCACTTCTCGGTGAAGGCGGCCAGCACCGCCTCATCTACGTTGGATGGCCTCCAGTTCGACATCGCTCTCTAGATTCACGAACGGATCTGTGAGTTCCCCTCTCCCTCACTTTACCCTCTCTCTCTCTTAGAAACCGCTGTGGCCCATGAATGCACTTGGCAAGAAGGAAGGAGGAGGAGAGGCGGTAGATGGGGAAAGGCGAAGGAATGGGATGAAAACCCTCTGCCTTCCCCTATTTAAATGCGAATAGACATGTGATGGGATGTGCCCTGACTGATGGGATGCACCCTACCCAACGAAACGTCACCTGTTTAAAGTGAGACGTGGCCTAGGTTGGGCCCACCTCTACCATAACCCAGGCGCAAGAAACAAGGCACAATCGTATGCAAACGACCCTCTGCCTTCCCAGGCAGGGTTTAGAAGGGCCCACCGATAGGATCTCCATCGAGGAGGGACCAATGGGCTACCTGAGTCGATCGGATGGCTCAGGCGACTGCCGAGAGACAGGTAAGGGGCAGTGGGATGCCCCATGTGGGCTATGCTAACTTCGTCATGAACGACGGACACAGATCCTATTCGGACATATCCGATAAGAGCTCCTCAAACCCATCACTCAAGTTATCAAGGTAACTTTACCAAACCTTCTTACTTTATTTTCTGATGCATGATCATTCATTCATCCTTTCACATACACGCATTCACACATTCATTCATACAATCATTCATTCATCCCATACATCCAAGGCATCGCATTTGCAATTAATGCAACACAATGCTTTGTGTTGCGTCACAAAGCGGTAGTTGCCTCATTCAACATGAGCAACGACGACCGGGGTTCGATGGCCGGCCTACGGAGGGCTCGAGGCTGCCTCATGTCAAACAGAGCTAGGGGAGAAAACACAGATGAGCCCCAGCGGCCTTCGCTCGATATGCTCAGAAGCAGACAGGGTTATCTCGACCTTCTCGTTCGATCCTAACCTCGAGCCATGCCCACAGAATCTCCATCGAGGGGAGGCCAGCGGGCCACCTGAGTCCGTCTCTAGAATGACCCGGGCATCTGCCAGGACATTGGTTAAGGAGCAGTGGAATGCCACATGAGGGTTATGCTGACCCCGTTACAAACGATAAACCCAGATTCCGCTCGAATGCGCCCGTTAGTGAGCTCAGCGAGCACGTCACTCGAGACATCGAGGCAAGCGACGTTAGCTCAGCCCCTTTGATTGTGGAAACCACGGACAAGGTAACGCATGGAACTAGACCAACCCCTACCGAACCCAACGGGGCTCAGGGGTTCAGGTCATCCAACGTCGACTCGGGAAATCAACCGACCGCGTAGGTCGCGGGTGGGACAAACACGGGCGAACACCCCAAACAACAGAAACACAGGAGTCTGTGGCCCCAAGAAAGAGTACCAAGATACTCAGCCTCCCACCGACTCACCAGTCGAACGCAGGCTCGGGGGCTACACCCACCGGGTGCGCTCGCGCGCACCCGCTGGCGAAACAAAAAATCCCTAGACGATTCTACCCGAATCTCCAGGGGGCTCGGGGGCTCCTGTCGGATTCATAAACCCAGGGTCCCTAATGGTCCCGCTTCCCAGCAAAAGCTTGGCCCAACAGACGGCATTACGAACGACGTGCAACTCCTGGGCCGGCCCAGATACCAAACGACAGGCCGAAAGAGAGATCCAGTCTCTAAGCGGAAGGCCTGGCCAAGGAGGGGACGATGCTCGCTTCCGACTCTGACCCGCTTCTCCAACTAGAAGGCCTAGCTAAGGAGGGGACGATGCTCGCTTCTGACTTTGACCCACTTCTCTGACCGGAGGGCCTGGCCAAGGAGGGGACGACGCTCGCTTTCGACTCCGACCCGCTTCTTCGACCGGAAGGCTTGGCCAAGGTGGGGACGACGCTCGCTTCCGACTCTGACACGCTTCTCTGACCGGGAATACACCGAACCTCTGCTTATGGCTCTTCTCCGATCAGCGCGGTCGGAGCCAACTGGCAATGACCGGCCGGGGACGCCCGCTCGGTGAGGACCCAAGAAATCAGGCGGAGCAGATAAGGTAAGGCGCTCAAGTCAACCGCAATACCGAGGATCGTACCCTACACACCTGCAGGACAGTACTGTCAGGCCATGCCAGAAGGGTACTTTGTAGCCTTCTAGACATGTTAGAACACAAACAGTGTTGTAGCTGCCGACATTTGTCCTACAATATGGTAGGCGCTGACATTTGCCATACCAGAAGAACATGATGGAGCCTACCGCATGCATCTGGGCATCAACAGTATTGTGGGCGCCGACAAACTATCTTATACCCGACGGTGTGGGCAACAAGACTAGGGCACACTCTCTCTCTCTTGAACTTGTAAGGCTGTCCCCTTCATTTATAAAAGGGGATGCGCTGTCACCCAACAAGGACGGATCATTCCGACTCTCTCTCTGCTAGCTTTAGACATTCTGAGCACTTGAACAACTTCACAGCTCTAGAACTGTAAAGCTACACAGAGGATACGTTCCAATACTTAGCGCACGTAGGAGCTCCCATCACTCTCGGCCCTTCGGTCCAGAGTCCGACCGGACCTCTAACACCCCCATCTTATTCCCACTCATTTGTAACCCCACATCAAACTTCGAGCACTTGGGCTCAGGAATAAAGTCACCGACCGACTCAAACTAGACGTAGGGCACGTTGCCCTAACCAGTATAAACCCTGTGTCATTGAGTGCTAGGCCACATCCGATCACAATGTACGGCAAAATGATAAATATATACTGGTTGGTCACTTTTTGCACCAACAGATGGTGTTCATGAGGGCTTGGAATGTAGCTGGGGCATTGGTCAGCCCAAATGGCATGACTCTAAACTCCCAATGACGATGGTGTGTTCTAAATGCTGTTTTGGCTTCATTAGTTGGCACAACCCTGATCTGGTGATATCCTGAGCGCATATCCAGTTTGGTAAACCATGCCGCACCATGAAGTTCATCAAGAAGCTCATCCATTATTGGCAATGGATATTTATCCTTAACTGTGATATTGTTGAGCTGGCGATGGTCCACACAGAAACGCCAATACCCATCTTTCTTTTTCACTAAGATAACTAGAGAAGCAAATGGGCTGTGGCTTGGTTTGATGATGCCATTAGCCAACATCTCCTTAATCTGCCTTTCTATCTCGTCCTTTTGAGTTGGAGAATAGCGGTACGGTTTCACATTGATTGGTTTAACACCTAGAATTAGTGGGATGTTGTGATCAAAGGTCCTTTCGGGCGGTAAGCTTTTAGGGTCTTGAAACAGATCATCATTAATTTTGATAAGCTGCTGGACCTCTGCAGCATATGCTTCCTCTACAGTGATGGGGCACAGATGAATAGCTTAGGCAATGCCACCCTTACGAACCAGTCCTTGAAGTTTCCTGAGTTTGATCTTAGGACATGTGGAGGTGGAGTCCTTAATGCCTTTGAGACTAATGCGGGCACCCTGATATGAAAATCTCAATAGCTTCCTTTTCCAGTGTATCCACATGGGGCTATGTGATTCCGGCTAATCCATTCCCAGTACCAGATCAAAACAAGAGATTGACAGTACTCGAACTGAGTGAGTGAATGTTTTGCCCTGAGTCCACCAAGTAAAATCTTGGACTTGTTGATCACTTCTGAGTTTCTGCACATTAGCAACTGTCACTGATACAGATGGAGCAGGGGTGACTGAGCACTGTAGAGCTTTGCACTGTCGTGTCACTTATGAATGAACAGGAGCTGCCTAAATCAATGAGTATCAGAATTTCTTGATGATTCACCAGGCCAGATAATTTGATGGTTTTCTTGCCTTGGACGTCCTCCACTGCACACTAAGACAAACTGAAAATTTCATCGTCATCATCATAACTGAAATCTTCAGTTAAGTCATCCTTTGGTGGCTCAGTTTGCACAGCTTCTAGGAATTCTTCCACAACATGTAGTGCCACCTTGTCAGGGCACTTGTGATTTTACCCCATTTTTCACCACATTTCATGCACAAACCTTGTGCTCTTCGCTGAGTTCTTAGAGCAGCAAGCTTGTCATCCCATTTAGTCTTGGCTTCATCCCCTGCATGATTAGGAATTGGGCCCATGATTCCTGGTTGAGGATTGGAAAACTGCCTTCCTTGAGCTCTGTTGAAGTCTCTGTTTTGCCTTTTGAAGAAGGGTTTGGCTAGAGACTCTAGCACTGAGGCCTGCATGAGAGCTAGAGACAAAGCCACATCAACAGTTCTAGGTTTATGTAAAATGATGGCTGATCTAATGTCTGGGTTGAGACCCTGCATGAATTTGCTCACAAAAAACACATCATCTAGAGACTTGTTGTGAACTAACACCTTATGCATGGCATTTTGAAATCTATCATAATACTCTTGCACATCAGCTATTTGTTTAATTTGCAAAAGGTCATGCATGGCATTGTGGTACAAATCTTTGCCAAACTTGGACTCAACCGCAATGCACAACTCAGCACAACTAATATCTGAATCAGAATGTTGTGCTTCATATGTCTGTAACCAAAGTTCAGCACTACCCTTAAAGTGTATGGTGGCAAACTGAGACCATAGATGCATAGGGATGTGATACATGTTAAAATACTTTTCACACTTTTCACGCCAGACCTTAGGATGTGATCCATCAAACTTAGGGAACACGGCTTTAGGCAACCTAACCTCCTTCTGATAATGGTAAGGCATGTTTGTGTGATAGTATTATGAAGAGTCGACCAGGACAGTAGGGTGAGGTGGGGATTCAGTATACTGACCATTAGCCAGGGGCAGCTAGAGGACGAGAGTCCCCTTATCCAACCCCTGTGTAGTTGATTCGACGCCGGGGCCCTTGGCTTGCCCCTCTTCCTCGCGCGCCGGGGCTGAAGGCGGAGCGGGATGAGGTTGCGCTTCCAACGCCTCGATGCGCGATGTGAGATTCTTGACGTCCTTGCTAAGCTCGGTGGAGACGTGGTCGACCTCTGGGCGCCACCGGTTGAAGGTCTCCATGAGCAACAACATCGACTTCATCTGTGCCGCGAGCGCATCCAATTTCTCCTCAGCCATGGACATGCGGGATGTTAGGGTTGGGGGTTTGGGTTTACGCGCCAGCGAGCTGGGGGTGGTAGGGGATTGGGGTAGAGGCGGCGGTGTGGTGGCGGTTGAGATGGTGGTGGCGGCGGCGATGGCGGCGGAGTAGGTGGTGGCGATGGTGGGCTAGCCGAGGCGAGAGCGGAGCGGCAGGATGAAGACACGAGTTGCGACAGGTAGAAGGTGATGGCTCGACGAACCAATCGAGAGTTCTCGTCAGAGATTGAGCGGATCGAGCAGGAAGCGGCGATCTCTTAGATCCTGTGACCGTTTGGTGCTGCTCGGCGCACCATTGTATTGCCATCGGTTGGTGTTGTTCATCTTCCCGGGCCAGCCGCCCTAGCCCTTCGGTTCGGTCATTGTTCAAAGGAGGTCTGGAAGCAAGATTGCAGTCTGTGCAGCGAACATGGCGTTGGTTTGGTTCATCTTCAGTGCTCGCAATCCTTTCATCCTTCCTATGCAAACATGAGAAGAAGAGCAGGGCACACAGATAGGCTACATCTCCCTCTGAATGACAGCTGTTTTGTAGCCTTGCGGGCCGACGGTGGGTGGTTCTTCTATCGCGTTTGTGTCGCCGTGCGTGCGTGCGTGCGTTTGTTAGATGTGAACGCTGATCTTTGTGTTTGCCCACTAATGTGATGTGCGGTGCACATGCGACCTGACCTTCGGCATCGGATTCTCTCGCCGGAACGAAATGGAACAGGACGAGGATTCTTTTTTTTTTCCTTTTCTTTTTGACTAAGACATAGTAGACATGATGCTTTTCTGATGAAGTGGCGCCTTTTCATGACGGCCTTTTTGTTCTGACCAACTACATATCACCGTAACTCTCACTTGGTAACCAGAAATGTACTACCAGATTTTTTTTATGTGTAAGGTCCTGTTTGGTTTCTAGAGAATTTTGGAAATCTAGAGAAAAAAGATCTCCGAATTCTAAAATCTTGTCTAAACATATTAGATTTTATTGAATTTTAACATATAGAGATACAGGATCTAATGAAATGTGCTAGACTTTTTAATCGACACTCCAAAAAGCCTATGAGGAACAGAAGTAAAAAAAAAACCGTGTCCGTGATGCTCGAGAAGACATCCATTGTCCGTCCCCAGATAGCCTGTGGGGTGTTTGGTTCGTTGGCCGCGCCTAACATGAAGCAGCCACACACAAAAAAACGGTAGTTGTTTGGTTCATGCCTCAGATGTGGCGATCATACTTTTTTTTAGCACAAAACTCGCCCAGTAAAAACTGCCGCCTCACCTTAGGCGGCGCCGCTGTTGCGGCCGTGGCGTGTCACGGTCGGCAACCGCTCGCATACTTCATGACTACCTGAGGTCGGCCAAATGGAGCCTAAAATAGAATGCGATTGCAACAGCCAACAGGTGACTGAGGTTACGAGTGGGAAGGAGGGTTTTGGGGGATTGGAGGTGTTACTGCTATGTCTATGTATGGGCATAGCCGGGGCGGCGGCCGGACAAGCAGTACGTGGCGTCGTGGTGGTCTAGCAAGGGGACAGCGGGGCCAACTGGCCGAGGAAGTGTCAGTGGCAGGGAGCGGAGACAAAGGAAACAACCCCCGCTACCGCTAGCTAGCATGGGCATGGCAGAGAACTGCGGCGGCATATCCGGCGGCAGATGGGTGGGGGTGAACAACAGCACTAGTACAGCTGGACGACATCCAATGCAAGAATGTCGGCAAGCAGACAACCAAAATCAACCTGGCGATGATGGTGAGGCGGGTGCAGCATCGTCGCAGAGGAAGTCCCTCCGTCCTCGTTTCCGTCGCGGTTGCGCTAACTCCGGCGCCTTCGTGAGGTATGTGAGGGTTGGTGTGAGACCCCGCTAAATGGGTCAAATTGGACCGGTCTGGTGGGCTAGGCCGAATGGCTGAGCTACTGTAGCAGCAGCCTGACGGGAACTAAACCAACTTAAAAGCCTGAGCCTGGGAGGAAATTAACTCCGGATTGATCTTTTTGTATAAAGCAAGGATGAAAGCGTAAGATAGTTAATTAGCAGGTGTGATCCATTGTTACCGTTACAAATGGTATTCAGAGCCAACTCTCGTTTCACGGACGTATGGCTCGGGAGCTCGGACAGGTTGCGCATAGCTCTGCAAGAGCATAGCACTTGGGCCGGGGAACTGGGAATATGGACGTCTCTAAGAGAGTCGATCCTAGACATTTGTCCTGTTTGAGTAGGTTGGTTTAGCCCTCGACGAAGACGTCGAGTCCTAGGGGCGGTGATTGTAACATCCCCGTCGAAATGGGCCGAATTTCGGTTGGACCGAGGCACTGTAACTGCACGCATGGGCTATGGTTCGAGCTGTAGCTGCCGAGGGCACTGTAGCAGGTGGGCTGGGCCAAAATAAGGTACTACGCATCCTTGTCTGGCTATTTAAGTCGGTCTGCCTCATAGTTGGCACTAAAGTCTGGTCCGCGATGCTACGGTACTCGCGTGAACAGTCTCGGACCACAGCCCACGCGTGCCGTGCCTCGATCCACTCGGAATTCAGCCCATTTAGGCGGGATGATACTTGGGTCCTCCAGATCTGGTTCTCTGAATATGGAGGATTTGTACAGGAGTCCGCGGTTGTCTGCTGCTTCTGCTGCCTGTGAAGGAGCTTGTGATGGCGGTGGCAACCTCTTTTGTTGAAGGAGAAGGGATAGCTTCTGGTGTAGCGGTGGTGTGGCGAGTGGACCTGGGTCTCTTCTACGGCGCTCTCCGGCGACGTGCCATGGTCCTGGTCCAGGCGGGCGTGGGGTGTGTCCCCGGCCGATGGATGATAACTGGCGATTTTTTCCTGTTCTTGGTATCGGGATTCTGTTGCGGCTCCTTTCAAAGCCAAGGCGAGATGGCGCTCTTCCTGGTCTATGTTTGGTGTCGCTCATCACCTCGCTCCGTCGTCGGCTCCGGCGATGGTGCTCGCGATGTCTGACGACATCACTGCAAGCAAACTAACGACCTCCTTGGACTTTGTTGTCATTTTCTTTTTCTCTAGAGGCGTATGTGCAGTTTGCTGGGACAGCTGTCCCTTCAGTATCCTTCTAGTACCTGCTCAGATTGTATGTATGTATGTTTGTACGTGTTCTCCTGTTAACACTTGGATTTTGGTCAATTACGGAAGATGACAGGTGGACCCACATGCAGGAAGAAGAGTGTTCGACAAACAACGCATGGCGGTCGGCTAAATGCTTGTGCGGTCGGTTATTACGGAAAGCGGTAACTCCATTCGGGAAAGCGAATATATGGCAAGCAAAGCCGATCGAAAATGATGAAAGTTGTAATAATAAAGGACTCGAGAGTTTGGGGCAAGGAATCGTAGTTTCCAAGTTTATTTAAGAGTTCCTTTGTAAATCGTAGTCTTTTAGGACTCGTGTTTCGTCTAGGGTATAAATATTGACCCTCGACCATTGTAATAGGCGTTCACAACCAAATCAATACAACCGGCCCGTGCCAACTTTTTGAGTCCTTTTGTCGTGTCGCCGAGTTCTTGAGAGGAGTCATCGATCCGTCGACCTCCGTAAGTTCCGACAACCTTGTTATCATGTTTAGTATCATGCGGTGGATTTAAACGTGATGCAAGTAGTCTTGTTTGTTTTCAATGATCGTCGTGGCGGATCTTTGCTTGACAATCAAGAAGTCTTTGCTTATACTTTGTTTATGAGTAGATACCGTATGCGGCAAAAGGCGTTTGCTCAATATGCTTAGTGGAAGCAAGATGCTTATCGGCTCTATTAGATTACGGCAAAATCTAAATAGATTCATCAAGTTATCTGTGTTGCATGTTTTAAATATTTTATATATTTGTAACACACTTTTGCCCAATTTAGATTGATATTGTTCGGCCCTCTTCTATGGTTTTATTCGAGCTTCAATGATCATTACTTTCATAATACCTTTGCAAATAGATAACATGCTTGTAATGGCTGAATTATTTTAATCTAGATTGTCACATGTTGTGGGTTCATGTATGTTAATCACGTTTAAGTTTTGATGAAATTAGGTGTCGTCTGCGCGAGCCTTGAGTTTTTTAGATTGGCTTAATCGTGTTTATCTACACGTTCCTTCTTCATGGACCCCAACTCGGCGGATTGTTTGAGCTTGGATATGCATTAACGCATAATCAATTTCACTTGTTCAAACATGTCTTCCCATGCATATGCATTCGGCAATCGATCTTTACGTATGTCCATCCTACGATTAGCGAATGATTTATAAACTTGTTGGCATGCCTTCCTATAGTCAGTATGTCGTTGTAAAGTAACTTCAGGGGCGTATATACGGCTATCTATTCGTCTCACCCGACATGTTCCGGTTTGACATTTAACTGTTTTATCCCTTGTCGGTTTCTTTTCGAGTCAAAGCCCGACCGCACGCGTTCGGATCACGAAGCACCCGGGCACCGATTGAAGCTACGCTTTTTTGTCTTCTGTGTGTGTGCGTGCATGTCGTCACATTTTGTGTCAACACACTTTTTTGCACACGCCGGTGGGACAATCTGCTAGTTCAAGATGGCATCCGAGATCAACAATGATCATGTTCGGATGTAAGCATGGCGAATTGCGGATAATTACAAGGATTTAGTGCTACAAGCGTGTGAGCAATACCAACGGAAGTGCTTGATG